TATGCTAGTACTTATCGCAGGAGTTTCAAACCCTTTTCATCACCTGTAATACTGAAGAACCTTGAAAATTTTTCTCCCTTCCCAGACTATCTATTGCCATCAGATGATACCCTGCATCAACTATAGCAAATGTGAATTTGAAAAGTATGGAAAATAATGTATTAAAATCTGGAAAAATTGCAGTTTAACAGAGATAATCACCATCATATATTGTAACAATTCTCCACGCATAAATATTCCTTGGATTGAGGTCTACTGCTCAAATTTCTTTCCAGGTGCAGTATTGGTATATAAATAGTTCAGAATACCCAAGTTCACATATTTGAAACAGCTTATGTCATCTGTACTGGCCAAAAATCTTAAAATGCTTGGGTAACAGGCAGAGGGAGGGAGAAAAAGGCAAAACTTTAGAAGCAGCACCTGTGGAGGACATTGCCTGCTGAGAAAAAAATTTCCTGTAGTATTTGGAAGCCAATGCAGTAAGATTAATATAGAGGTAGTCATTTATAATGTTAAAACTTCACTAAGAAAATCACAAAAAATCATAAAATGATCTTGTGTTTTTGTGTGAGTTCTTTTTGTCTCTTTCAATTTTTGTTTCATTACAAAAAAAAAAAAAAGATTAGTAAAACTTAGAGGCTAAAACTGAGGAGAAGTAAATGTCACACAATTTTTTCTAAAATTAGCGAATTCTATTTTGTCAGTAATTTTTCCATCAAAATTACAAGAATGGAAAATTTGCATATATAATACCCTGGGTTTGGTATTCAACATGTACCCTTTTCTATTGTGTATTCCTGGTGTACTGCCTATTGATTTTAAAATTATAACTGTGTTGTTTTTCAAGTTGTGGATAATCTCTCCTTTTTTCTTACCCCCCAAGTTAGTTCAAGGAAAGATAGTGGATACAAGCACCCACTTAAATACATTTTATATTTAATTTGTATAAACTGGAATGTTAATCAGAGTTCTCTTTATGGAGAAAAACAAACAAACAAACAAAAACCCTTACCACAAATCAAACCGTTGTTTGCTTTTTCAGATCTACAAGCCTAAACAGCTATAGATTGAAGTTTGAGACTGAAAACTTGATTCAATTGTAGCTTTGACTAGCTTAGAAGTTCACGCCAAATTGGAAATGAATTATAGCTGAACCAAAACTATTAAAACAGTATCACTGTAGACATTAATTCTTGGTTTTCTTGGTCAATGTTTTGTGCCCAGTTTAGTCATGGTAAAAAATGTAATATGGTACTGGGAAGAAGAACATATTAAAAAGCCAAGAGTATGTTTGCCTGATTACTTGGTGCTGTTTTTTTTTTGTGTTTTTTTTTTTTTGTGTGTGTGTGTGTTGTTTTTTTTTTGTGTGTGTGTGTGTGTGTTTTTTGTTTTGTTTTTTTTTTCCCCCGAAGTTTGAGGAAAGATGCTTCTTTTTGCATTTTAAGACAGCTAGATATAAGTTGATTATTTGTTATATAAGACTTGTAAATTCTGCCTTTGATTACTGGAAAGGCATCAGTTCAAATTATGATGATGTACTTATGATCACAACTATTTCTGTAGCAGATGTACTTCATTCTTAAGTTAATGCATGACCTTCTGTTTGAATTTTAAGCAACCTGCTGTAAGCAGTTGTTTATCTAAGGTATGACAATCCCTTTAAGCTGATAAAGTTTCTTATGTGGTGGAGGTGGAAGATTTTTGAAAGCCAAAGAAATTCCAAATAGGAAAAGATGATCCATTTAACTCCTCCAGAAATATAACTGTATATATTAGAGACCTAAAGGACAACCTCAGTTTTGGCTAAAGGTAGATGTATTTAGAGCTTCTGAATTGTTTTGTATTGAGGAAGAAGGAAAAAAAAAAAAGGAAGCAAGTAGTTAGAGACTAGTTGATAGATGCAAAGAGATTCTGAAAATCTCAAGTGACCACTTTCTCTAGAACTGTACAAAGTGTAGACTGAGGTAACAAATGTGGTAAGAATTTAGAAATAGATCCACATCAAGTCTGATGACATCTGCAGTTACAGTCCTGCAACTGGCTGTTGGCACAGAATGACTCTTTCCACCCTGCGTCAAGTTCATTGCACAATATATAGGAGGAGAAATGAGTTACCAAGAGCATCCATGTTGAAATCCTACCCTTTACTTTATGCTACAGATACTCTAGGCTAGTTTCTGCTGTAATCTTGTTTGAACTGATTCATTGAGCTATGGAAAGAAGGCATATTGCTTCAAGAATTGCTTGATACTAGATCAGTGGCCATAGCTCTATGAAGCATCAACAGCTCTATGGAGCAGAATAACTGTGTAATTAAGAATGAAAACGGCGTTTCAGCAGTGGTAAATAGTTGCGCAGAGTAGCAATTTATCAAACTTTTAGTGTTGTACTATATAGTATAGTATAGGATATTAGTTAATTAGTAAATTAGTTTTGTTAATTAGTGACTTAAGTAGTTTATTATCTGTAAATTTGCATAAGATTTGCATGGATGTAATTCATCTGTGCTTTATTTACCCATCAAGACATCTTAAATGGTTGTTATGCAGTTTTCTGCAGGCTTATTTTCGTCGTTTTTTGTTTTTTATTATTTTTATATTTATTTTTTATATTTTTATTTTTTTACAATTGTGTAGACGCTTTTTTTGACATCTTTATGCTCATCTCTATGTTTATGGTCAGCTGGAGCTAGGCAAATGTAGCATATCAGCCAAGAACATAATACTGTCATGGGCAACAGGTGCATGTTAAATGAGAATTAAAGAAAATAATCTCAAGTTCATCTTTTAATTTATTTCGAAAAATTGTCTTCCCTCTGGTAATTTTTTAAATACAGAACATGAATTTTATATGGTACACCTCATTTTCTTTTAAATGACTTGAAAAGACAGTGTTTGAATTAAAATATTTTATTTTGATTTTAAAGGCCTGTTTGGCTGGATCTATCTCACAGAAAAAAGATTTTTTGTATGGACAGTTCTTATGACACAACATGGAAGCTGTCTCTGAAGCAGTGTTTCACAGATCTGTGTGTCTCCGAACTTGACCAACTAATGGAATGGTCGAATACAGGATCATCTCTGTGGTACTATTTAAAATGTATAAATGTGTTAGAAGTGCAAACAATAGAAGAGGAAGGCTTTAGTTTCTGAATGTGGATTTTTCTGCATTTTATACAGAAAATAATAATTATAAGGTTCAGAAAATCTCTTTGTTCCATCTAATGGACAATATTTTTTTCCCTCAAAAAAAAAAAAAATCTCTCTACCATTTAATAGGAATTTAATAGTCACCAGTTAAGTTTGCATAGTAAAGAGTATAAAGTGGCTCAGTCTCTGGCCTAAGAAGAAACTGAGAAATGACATTATATTGTAAGGACTATTCTGCTACTGTTTTCCTTACAATCAGAATTATTTTTTTCTTTTTTTTTTCTTTTATGCCAGTTATACAAAACAATTCATGTCACAATGGTTTAGCAGGAAAAAAAACACAACAAAGTACAGACTTAATTTTTGCAAGTGATATGTGGCAATTTCGGTTTATACGCAGTAGGATTTAGCATATAAAATTTCATATACAAAAGTTATACTTCTTTGAGAGCTACATTTTTTGTGATTGCCTGAATTTATACCAACACAAGAACTGAATGTAGTTGGAAAGAAATTTGCTTTTATGAAAGTAAACTAGCCTGACTAGCTAAATCTCATGCAAATGCCAGTAACTGTAGTCTTACACTTTGATTAAAGTACATGTCAAGTGGCATCTACCATTTGTTATTTCTTAAATTTTTCTGAACCTTTGCTAAAGGTACTACTATACTATACCATTACTGATATCCTGAAGAACAAGTTTGGCACAAAGAGGCTAATTAGTGAAAAACGTAGTTTAAAAAATTACTATTTCTTTATAACATGTTTTTTATTGGTTTGGGGTTTTTCAAAAAAGCTTTCAATGCCATATTGAATGTGTTTTTTATGTTCCATAGAGTAAATACATCTCTAAAACAAAAGTCGTTTGAAAAAGGTACTTTTTTTCCTTTGTCTGCATTTGGGCCAAATGTCTGTTTTCTATAGAACTTACATCTGTTTTAACTTACACAGTAATTTCAACTAGTTTGCTATATTGATTACTAGTTAAAAATAGCTTCATCTAATGTGCATAAATAGTCCAATGAATATTTGGAAAGTGACATAAATATAATATTAGGAAAAAAAACTTGCATAGCACACGGATTAAGTAAATCCTGAGTAAAAATACTAGCTTTGTTTAAGAAAGTTGGAGCATAATTCCTTCAAAATTCACTTTTTCATATATCTGATTTTTTTTTTCTTTTTCTTTCTGCATTCAGTTGCTGGAAATTCTGCAGAGTTCAGTCAAGTGCATGTGCATACATGTGTGCATGCATGCAGAGTTCCTAATTTTATTATCTTTTTGTTATTGTCTTCGTACTTCGACTTTCTACACTCTGACTTCCACTGCTTCACATTTGAGTGTGAACTTCCTGGGGGGGCATTCTTTTATGTTTTAAATTACTCAGAATTTCCATCTGCTTTTACTTGACTTGTGGTTGTGAAGATCATGCTTGGCCCATGGGATCTTACACTGTGCCGAGAGGATGTGGAGTTTTGTCAGCCAGTGAAATATGTCTGGCTTTTTTTTCCTTTTTTTTTTTTTTCAGCATCTTTCATATGCTTCTCTTCATGTGTGGTCCCACTGTACCGACTATATTTAACAGAAATACTCTATCTTCTCTGTGCTGCTCTCTTTTAAGCAGCCTGTGTATAAGAAACCTGAGATCCAAAAAATTTTAGTCTTGACTAAAAAGAAGGTAGTGTTACATAAAAGTACTTTAGTAGTTGCACATTCCAAAATTTATAACAGCATTCTGTGTTCTTGTTATACAAAAGTATTAGTTGATTTGCAGTTACCAATAAATATCCCTGTTATTACCTTTGTTGAATATTCTCTGCTGCTTTTTTTTTTTTTTTTTTTCTTCCCAGGCACTGCTACAATCTACAGTTCAACAGCAAGAAGCAGCTATTGAAAAACAGTATATACTGGCAATTGAAAAACAGTCCCACAAATGTGAAGAACTTCTTAATGCTCAGGTATGGGTCTGGACATGCAGAAGCCTTCATGATTATCTTTTAGCTTCAGCTCTTCTCTGTTTGAAAAAATATGTTTTTTGGATACATCAATGAAAATAATCACTCTTTCATTTTGTGTCCTCAGCGTAACAGTAAACAGAGTTACTTAAAAATGCAAAGTAAATAATGACTCTCCATCTGTCAGTATCAAAAGTATCTCATGGCATTTAAATCCACTTAGAACAAATTCAAGAGTATAGCACTGAGAAGTAGTCTCAGTGCAACTTAGTATTTAATACTTTAAGAACAGTCATTTTCTGTAGTCTGGGAGACAAGCATACAACTACTTTTAATTCACATAGTTAAATACAGGATTTGATTGCATGGTATTTTCACAAATATTTGTAGGGTTTTTTTTTGTTTGTTTTGTTTTGTTGTTTTTTTCCTGCCTAGACAGTAAGCACAAATATCTGTTGTCCAAACCTCTCTTTATTTCATAGAAATCTTACATAAACATTAAAAATTAAGTATGAGGAATTACATAATCATAAATATATAAAGACTTACTTAAATATATAAATATATATATAAATGTAACATGACTTGATTAAAGGTACACTGCATAGTGTACACACATAGTGCATACAATTTTGTATCTTTAATGTGCAGAATCACATCAATTACTGATGAGCTTCTGAACATTGTAAATCTGGCTTGTTATTGAAAATGTTATGGCTTGCCCTTTTGAATCCAAACAATAACAAACATTAGTCTATATTAAAAAAAACAAAAACAAACAAACAAAAAACTATTGTGCTAATACCATCCTATATTGTTTACATTACAATTAACTTTTTAAGTAGTTAGCAACAATTCTATCAAAAATGCAAACCATAATGGTTTATTAATATAAACTTCTTGGGGTAAAGTATACCTAAATTCATCAAAAGGCCATTTGAAGTATTCCACCATTTTCAACATTATTTTATGGCGATTTATATGTTCTGACTATATCAATTAACGCTTACTGCAAACATATATTAAATGTGTAAGCATCTGTATAAACAGGGTAAACTAAAGAGACATAACAGTGGAGAAATTGATTCCATCTTGACTAAGGTGTATATTATACAGAACTACAGTTACTTATCATATGCTTGCCATATAGTTCTGTATAGTAAAAGAAGTAAAAATGAATTCTAATAAAATGCTTTGTCTTTTCTGAATTGAAAATATCTTGCATGACTTAGTATAATTTTCTGTATGTTAAAAAGGAGTGTATCTCATGAAATCTGGAAGAATTGTATGAAGATTATTGGGGGGTGTACTTACAGATTGAGCAGCAGTATTGCTCCCATGATATGTTACATTTGCATATCAAGTCAAATGGTGGGGACAGAAATTTGAAAACATGTTCAAGAAGTTCAAATTTATCTGGGGATCTATGTAAGATAGCTTTTTGTTGGTGGTGCTTTTGTTTGTTTCTTAAGTAGAACCTGACAACATAAGGGTCATAGAGTTACATAACACAGTGCCCATTTCAAATCATACCTCCATTTAATGCAACTTAAAACCACTTTTGGATCCTGGAAAATTTGCCATCTTTAGATATAAGACTGGAATTTTGAAGACTAGTCAAACAGACAAAGGTTGTGAGTTCTGTGTGGTAGAATTACCAGGTTTAATAAAATACAATTTATTCTTGCAAGCTTTGTTCACTCATAAATCTGTTGGAAGACATCTGAGAAATGTGTACCGTACTTTTATTTTTTTTATATATCTGTCCCTAAGTATATGCTTCTGTGTTTGTTTCAATATTTGGCTTTGTTCAATTTATTTTGTTCTGTGCTAACAACATTGCTGAAATTATAAGTTGATTAAAATGATGTGTTATGGCATTGTGCATGTATATTCACCTTTACAAGTAGAGTTATGAGTATCTATTACTTGAAAGAATTATTTATTTTTTTCATGGTAGTAAACATACAGTGCAAGTATGTTCTATACACAAACATAGCTTCGGTTTCTGTTTTCCTTCTAAAATTCTTGTCTTACAAGTAGTATTTTGTTTTCAAATTTTCACCCCACTTAGAACTTTGTCAATACACTCAATTTTTGTCCTCGTTTCCTCCAAATTTTCTGCTTTTTATTTCCAGTTCCACAAAATCAAGGTAACTTATTGACTCCTTCCTTATGCTTTCTCCTAATTGTATTCACCCCCTTAACTCTCCTACTCTTCCCTCCCAAAAATATCCCTTTGAGAAGAAAAAAAGGCTGTTTTTCTCTGCTTGACTTTAACTTGAGATAAGAATTTATTGTAGTTGCAGATTTTGGAGCTATTATCAGTGTGATGTGCCTGTGGTGGAGATGCATGTTAAAAATCTGTCTGGAGAGGTACTATACTGCTAATACAGTCCATGTTAAAAGTTGTATCTTTAAGGCTAGGGAAGGTGTGAAAGGCCTAGTTCTATCTTAGTTTCCTGCTACACAAATTTCTGTAATTTGTCTTTGATAATGACATGCAAGGTTTTGCAGCATACTGGCTAGCTATATGTAGCATCATCATCACATTCTCCAGAAAAGGAACCATCAGCACAAATTGTCCTTGATTCTGTATCTTGTTTCAGTTCTGTCAGACTGCACTTTTCTCCTAGTTCTGTTTCTAGAGGTCTTCAATTTAAAATTGCAAAAACTTTGCAATTGCAAAAAAAAAAAAAAAGTAAAATAGTTAGCCATTTTCTATTGTGGCCCTTCTGATAGGTACCTTTCCCACAGAACCTAAAGTCAGAAAGTTCTGGTCTGTTTGCTTGAAATTCCTGCGTGTGCATTATATAATACTTTTTCTTCTGTTAAGTGGAAGAAGCCTCAGAATTTTAAGGCTTTCAAAACCTGGGATTATTTTGCACTGTTAAAAGATCTGCTGGAGTTGTTTTGATGAATGTACTCTGAATACTGAACTGCCTCTCAGTGAAGCATTCCTCTTTATTGATTGTTATGACTATCTATTGCCTTGGAGACAACTACTTGAGTTATGAACTGGTGATATCAGTTACTATCCAGTTATTGTCCACAGATGCTGGGTAATTCTACATCTACCCTTTTCGTAGAATATTAAAGACAAGTGACTGATATTAATGGACAATCTCACACGTTCCCTAGGTATAGAGGTTATGGGTCCCCTTTTAAGTGCTATTCTGAAATGTGTTGAAAGAACCAGCTCCCTCAAACTCATTGATGACCACTGTAATGGATGCTTCCTGGGAAACAGGCTAGTGTTGCTGGTGATTTTTTGTTCGTTTGTTTCTTTGTTTTTCCAATGTAATATTTTCTCAGATCTACATTTCAAAAAGCAAACCAGGCATTCTTGTGGCATATTCAGGGGCACCAGGTTTGTGATGTCCTTTGTCAGTGAACAGGAAAATAAGAACTTCTTTACTTCTTTATTTCAAGATGCAGTTAGGTTAGATAGTATTTAGGAAAGCAATGCACGTCAGTTGTACATGTCTACCATTTGAGGATAACAGAGAAAATGACACTGGCAAACAAGTCAGTTTTTCATAAGTGGGGGAGATTATAAATTTTATCTTTACCTTTTTCTGATGCACACATTTGAAAATGAAAATGCAAATGAATTTGAAAATGAAAAATGCATCCTGAAAATGAACACCAACTTTGATGTTGTGTTTGAAGTCATGTGTTATATGAAGATACGTACTGAAAAAACTTGTTCCTGTAAAACTTTGGAAACAAAATAGGCTGTTTTTGGACAAACAGCAGAAGTCACTGACAACAGAATCATCCAAAAACTTCTGTGTGGGGAATGGAGAGTTTCATTGGTTCTGATTTCACTGGATTCTGAGTTCACTGTTGATACCTCAGAAAAATAACTGATTAAGATAATTATTTTGATCCCACTTTGAAAAAAATGAAATAAAACCAAACCAAAACAACAGCAAAACCTTTCAAATAGAATTTCCAGTAATCAGAAAAAAATAAGATTTCTATAAAAGTAAGTTAATAAAAGTGGTTCAGTATAGGTCAGCACTAGAATAGAGATGCCACATAGGGTAGAACAGTAATATGATTTCATAAAGTCTCACTCATTCCTATTTCTAAGTTATGATTTAACGATATTCCTCTTTTTCTCTATGTCTTCCTGAGGAAGCAGTATAAATTAGATATATAACTGGATTATGAAGTGCTTTCATGTTTGGATATTCTTAAAGTGGATATATTTTACTGTGGTCCTTAATTATGTTAATTGGGATATTTTCCATTTTGATTCATGTAGAAGAAGAAGAAACACAAGGAATGTAAGGCTTTAATTTTGTACCTCAATTGCATATATATTCCTTTTCTGTATGGGGCAACTTTTCTCCTACACTGTTAAAGATCCTGCAGTTTTCCTTTATGTAGAGTATATAAAGCTGTTTTTTTTTCCATACTAGTCAAAGGAGCTACTAGTGTAATTACTGACACAGGGCAGTACAATAAGGCAGTAATTTTCAAATTTACTTCACACCTGATTTTGAAAGGCATATATGCAAATTGGTATTCAGAGAATTTTGAATGTTTTAATTTTAAAGGGGCCAGCAGTCATTTTTTGCAGTGAGAACAGTAGGTACTTGAATAATGCAGAAAACATGCAGACTGAAAAAAATTAAGTGTGCAGTAGGCAACATCTAACTGGTTCATCAATTCCAATTATGATAGGTTTAGAAATTCTTGAGTGTGTTTTTCACATCCCCATCATTGGGGATCATTTCTTACAGTTCTCAGAAAGTTTATGATTTGCTAGTGTTGAAACAATCTGGCAAAGTCATTTCCATTCAGTCATCCAATCAGTCATTTCCATTATGTTTTCATCTAATTCACTTGTAACGTCTCATCCTTAAACACAGATCATCTAGGTGTATCTTTTTAGGTCTGTTTTCCCCTCACCAAGAGGGAATTTAGACTTTCTCACAACTTTGTTTGCTGGTAATTCTTGACTATGTAAACAACAAGCGATACTTGTTAGA